TGTGTGTGCATCACATCTGTGCCTGGTGCCCTGAGAGGTTAGAAGATGAGAAGACAGTGTAGGGTCCTCTGGATCTGGAGTTACAGAACTGCATGTGAGTCCTGGGAACTGAACCCAGGTCTGTTGGAAGAGCAGCCAATGCTATAGCTGCTGAGCCACCTCTCTAGCCCCAAGGAACGTGATTTCTTTACATTATTATAAGTGACTGGGGGTGATTGCCTAAGGCTGCTTCCTCACCAGATAGTAATTTTAAAGCGTAATCTAGAGTCAATGATATTTCTATATAAGGATATAGATATTAGGTTTTAATTTGAGGAAACTGAAAATAAAAAGTCTCTATGAGAAAAAATTCGCCTCATTGGGTTTAAGTAACTTGGCTAAGATCCTAAAGGTCCTACCTCACATAAAGGTAGTTAATCTTAGATTTTATCCCAAATCCTTCTAACATAAATTCTCCACAAACTTGGTCTGTCCGTCTCTCAGGATCTCACTTTCTTTCTCTATGCATTGCTAATAACTCATAGATGCTCTGAGCAGATCATCATATGAGCATAACCTGGATTTCAATTGTGTGAGCACACCCTGTTGAATTCATTCCCTGGGCCTCTGGCAGTGTCTTCTCACTCCTGTGTCAGCAGCAGGATGATTCCTCTTGGTTCCTACAACACTTGGTTTATACTCTTGACTTTGAAACAGCCTTCCAGTTCTCTAGCTGTGGTAAATGCCCCCTCCCTCCAAATGTACCGAGTTTTCTTCGATGCATGTGGTTTGTTCCATTCTCCTCTCTAAATCAAAAGCATTTGGCAAATATGCACATTGTCCTACATCTCACTGTGTCCTAGGATATAAAATATACACAATAAGTCTCTCTTTTGAGGTCAATTGAATGACATAGTGCTGCTGACAAGGATTTATCTGCATATATCTTGTTATTTTCTGAGTGTGGTGACATTCACACCGTCACTTCACAAGTGGGGATCTGCGGGCTACTTAACCAAGGATGGACTATGAAGATCCTATCTCTGCTCAGGACAACTGAGTTGGCTACTCATGTTGGCACATCCCTTTCCTAGCTAGGCTCTCTCCACTCCATCACAGAACTTCATTATTCTAAGGGGTCAGTGACGTCATGCTTCTCTGGGTCCTCCCTTACTTGAGTGCTTTGAGTGAACATTCTCTTCATTTAATTTTATTCCCTCCAGCTTCTCTAATTCGGAATATATTACAAGATACACAATGTATTCCTTCTACCCTTTGTGGGCAACAGTTCTAATTCTGCTTTGGGGGATTTTCTTCCTTTACTGAGTAATTGGAGTCTCCAAAGATCATTCTCATGAACCATCCTTTTTTTTCTTTCCCTCATCCCTTGTTCTTTGTAGGAAATTGTATCCACTGTGCATAGCCTATGAATGTCTTACACATTACTGACTGGGATACTAGATTCTTCAGCAAACACTAAGCTGCAAAGTCAAGCATTTTTTTATTAGGTTTTATCTCGAATGTCTTACACATTACTGACTGGGATACTAGATTCTTCAGCAAACACTCAGCTGCAAAGTCAAGCATTTTTTTAATTAGGTTTTATCTCAATGTGGTGTGTGGGGTGTGTGTGTGTGTGTGTGTGTGTGTGTGTGTGTGTGTGTGTGTGTGTGTGTGTGTGTGTGTGTGTGTGTGTGTGTTTGTATCCATGACACACTCTTGTGCAGAGGCCAAAGGGCAACTTACAGAAGTCTGATCTCTCCTTCCACCATATGGGTTCTGGGAATGGAACTCAAGTGGTCTGATCTTGTTTTCTTGTCCTTCAAATAACTAATCTGGTATCTTGATCTCCACATCTCTGCCCCCCCCCCAATTGCCTATCACATAACTGCTGTGTCCCTTCAAGCCACTTATCAGTGTTCCAGTTACAATTAATGGTACCTTTTCTGGTACACTGATGATAAGGTCTTCTTCGGGGGCCTCTCTAGGAAATTTTTTGAAACCATTAAAAAACAATTATTTTGATGAGCTAAATTTGGGTGCACAATACCCTAAATTATTTATTTTTCTTTCTGCCACTTGTTTCGTGATGAACAGTATTCAAATATATATCAAGCATAGGAATAATAAAAGTAAAAGGACAGTAAGATATTGAGGGAAAAGAGACAAGACTGTTCCATTTATACCTTCCTTCCTTCCTTACTTCCCTTCCTTCCTTCCTTTCTTTCTTTCTTTCTTAATTTATTTTATTTTATTGTGAGTCAGGGTCTCTTTATGCAGCTCTGTCTATCTAAGAACTCAATATATAGATCAGGCTGGCTTTGAACTCATGGAGATCCTCTTGCTTCTGCCTCCTGAGTGCTGGGATGAATGGCATGTGCTTCTTTGCCCAGCCTAAAACTGGTTTTAATCCTTGGAATAAGTATTTACTTATTTAGTTCTGGTGTGCTGCTTTTTTCTCAGAAACTTGAAGGTGATTGCTATGGCAACTGCTGTGAAGGAGTAGGGTGGCCTAGCTTCTGCCATGTGCTTTGGGCCTTTTCAGTCTGACTGTTTTGTCATGGGTGCCTCTGCTGAACACAAATCCATTCCTACTGTGAAGAACTAAGACTAAGGCATGTGTTTTGTATGCAGCAAAAGGATGGATTCTGTCTTTGTATCCATTCTGTCTGGAGGACAGGAGAGAGCAGGAAGATTGAGTCAGGGGAAGAATAGAGGACAACAAGAAAAAAGATACCATCACAGAGCGAGCCATTATAGGTTTAAAGAGAAATCTGGCAGTAGGGAAATGTCCATCGATCTACAAGGTTGACCCCAACTAACAATCTAAGCAGTAGCCGAGAGGCTACCTTAAAAGCCCTTCTCCGATAATGAGATTGATGACTACCTTATATGCCATCCTAGAGCCTTCATCCAGTAGCTGATGGAAGCAGAAGCAGACACCCACAGCTAAACACTGAGCTGAACTCTGGAATCCAGTTGTAGAGAGGGAGGAGTGATGAGCAAAGGGGTCAAGACCAGGCTGGAGAAACCCACAGAAACAGCTGATCTGAACAAGGGGGTGCTCATGGATCCCAGACTGATAGCTGGGAAACCAGCATAGGACTGATCCAGACCCCCTGAATGAGGATGTCAGTTTGGAGGTCTGGGGAGCATAAAGGGGATGGGATAAGGGATCAGTGGGGGGCAGGGGAGGAGGGTAGGGAGAGGAAACTGGGATTGACATGCAAAAGAAGCTTGTTTCTAATTTAAATAAAAAAAAAAAAGAATTAAGACTAATCCAATCCTTGTAGGAAACAGTTATCTTTCTGGTTGGGATTGACATGCAAAAGAAGCTTGTTTCTAATTTAAATAAAAAAAAAAGAACTAAGACTAATCCAATCCTTGTAGGAAACAGTTATCTTTCTGGATGTCTGCAGTCTCCATATCTTGGTTGTCTTCTCCTACAGACCTTTTGTTCTGCTGTCGTCTGTCCTCTAATAAAGTAAGGAATCTGGCCAGTGTTTTTGTAAGGGCAATTGTTTCCTTGTGTAAAAGGCATTGTAGGTCTGGAAAACTCAGCTAAAGAATGGAGTGGAAGATAGCCAATCTCGGTACTGGACCGACCACATTCCACACAGGTCATTGTTTAGCTTACCACCATTAACTTTCTTTGTTAGTTAACTCTAAGCATGAGTTTGCAGAAATATCTCTCATCATTGTGACTCAGCATATTTCAGAGAGTGTGTATCTTACAGTAGTGAAAGTGGTCAGGCTGGTAATAATGGCTAGAAGAAAATCAAGGTATGTATATTTAACTAAAAGGTGTCTATCAGAATTCACAGGCCTTGTTTATTATGCATATGCTGATTTTTCATCCTTAGCACAATAATAGTAAAATTAATATTGGGAGATGGTAAATGACATGTAAAAAGATCTAGGTTTGTGAATTTTCTCAAAATATCATTTATTACAGTAACTATTTTTTACATAGGAAATCAGTAGTTTATTACTGAATAAGAGGAAATAAGTAACTTTAGCACAGTTAGTATTTTACTATATTAATAACAGTGAGCAGAATTTGACTGTCCTAGGCTTACAGAAACATTGTGGGTGTTTGTAAGTTGAATACAATATGCAGTATTAAGCAACTCCAAATTCCTAGACTAAAATATAAGGCAAAGGTCAGAACCTTGGGTATCATCTTTCTTGGCAGGCTCTATCTTTCCACTCAGACACAAGGCTGATCTTGCTGGCCCAACACTTCCCATTTAAGAGCTTCTTTCTTAAAATATTTGCTTAACAAACTTAAACTGTTAGAAAACTTTTATTTTTGTTTTTCCTGGGAGGAAATGTTAAAAGGCTGCAGTACTATAGAATATTTTTAAGTATTTCCCCAGAATCACAACTTAACATTAATCCAGAAAAACTGTGATAACCAAAATACTCCAGGACAGAGATAACCTACTAATTATATTCTCTTGGAAGATAAATGTTAAAAACTTAAGTGTACTTGGAGCTCCAACTTGAATTATTAAAATCTTTAAAGAATGTAGAGTTCTCCTTCCCCATGCTGACTGGGCCATAAGAGGAGTCTTCACACTGAACTCTGATGTGAGTCCCTGAAGGTATGTGTCCCCCCCACCCCCCGCCGTTCTGTGGTGGGCCTTCTACGGGTGCAGCTGGAGTCAGAATTCCAGGGTCACCAGACCACTCTTTGTGGAAGGGAAAACTGCTGCTGCTGTTTTTCTTTTTATGTTTCCCAGTGTCTGTTTTGACAGTTCTGCTTCTTGGGAAAGTGGTGGCCTTCCTCAAGGCTGGCTCAGGCTCAATTGCCACAAATCTCTTCCTTCACTCCAGGGTGTGGGCTGGAGCAACTCCAGATAAGACATATTCAATGTTTGCTTTGTTTTCTCTTTTGGTTAAAGACATGGCAATTTACAAGAGAGAAACTACTAAATAAGACCTTAAAAACAGAAGTGCTGAGTGCATCAAAGTCCATCAGACAGGTCCTGGCAGGAGAGGAGGGGAAGGGAGGGGGAGAGAGAGGAGAAGACTAAAATGACAGGCTAAGTGTGGAGGAGACAGGCAAGGGGACAATGGGTCATACACAGGACAAAGGTTAACAATCCAACATAAAAAATGAGTTTTTCAACCTCAGAGATTGAGGAAGAGGAGGAGAGAACATTGCTGGGCAAAGAACAATTGCACATTACTGTTGTCACCACAAGGTATGCTGAGTCAGACATTCTAAACCACAGTTTCTATGTATTACATTGTATGCCATAAATATGTGTATAGTTATTATTAAACTCATTTTTCTTATTAACTTTATTTTTAATAATTTTATTGGAATTTTTTTTATTCGCTATATTCTGATCATGGTTTCCCTTTCCCCAAGTCCTCCCAGACCCTCCCCACCTCCCCACCCACCCTATTCCAAGTCCTTTCTTTCTTTAAAAAACAAACAAGCAAACAAAAAAAAACACAGAATTTTTAAAAAAGAAAGAAAAAACAAGAAATACACACACACACACACACACAATGAAAACCTATAAAAAACACAAAACTGAAAACCATAACATATAAGCAAAAGACCAATAGAAAAAGCAAGGAAAAAAATACAAAGCCCAAACAATGCAATGAGACAAAAAGTTTACAAAAATACTATTGCATTCATTTGTGTTGGCCTTCTACTGTGGGGCACAGGGCTGTTCCTGAAGTGTGGTTTGTAACCCAGTGAGAATCAGTTGGAGAAAAATAATTTTTCCTTTGCAAATGGATGTCAGTTACAGATACCTCCTTAGGGATGGGAGTTCATGTCCACACCCCACTCTCAGCCCTGGGACCCTGAACCTGTGTGCCGCTGCAGACTATGAATTAATTCATGTGTTCAGCAGTCCTGAGGTGTCTTGAAGATGCTGATTGAACTCTTTTTTTGAAAAAAGCTTCATCTGACGGTGGTGGTTTATGTTTTATGCCTTTAATCCCAGTACTTGGGAGGCAGAGGTGAACCTCTGTGAGTTTGAGGCCAGCCTGGTCTAGTTCCAGGACAGTCAGGGCTGTTACACAGAGAAACTCTATCTCGAAAAGCCAAAAAAGAAAGGAAAGAAAAGCTTTGCCTTGGCTTCCTGGCTTCTCTTTCCCAGAAACACATTTTCTCCAAGGAAACCATCATCAGATTGTAGTGGAAGCAGGACACCATGCCTTAAAAGGTGCAAAGTAAGAGCGGGTCTATTCTCCAAAATACAGAATACCAACACATAACACATACAAAGCTAAATAAAGAAATCACAACAAATTGCCATAATTCACTTTTGCTAAAAATATATTTTGATTAAAAACACATGTGGAATCTGTCAGTGGGGCCCCTCTTTGGGTTTTGGAAAGAATTCTTGCAAGAAAAGAGGTGAAAGCCAAAAGCTGTATTAGTCTCATGGTAAATCTGCCTGCAGTCTTACTGACATGAATCGAACTGGGGCAAGGTTCTCGACACTTTCACATTTCAGAGAGCTTCTCATGGAAGCATTTGTGAAGGAGGCAATAGCTGCCTTCACAATGCTGCCCAGTGTTCCCAATGCACTCAGAACAACTTGAGTAGCACCATGCGTAGGAAACTACTTTACAAGGTTGGAAAGTTCTCCCCATGTATATGTTTCTTACAAGGGGAAAATTTATCTCAATCAATGTTCAAAGTTATCTAAACCTTCAATGAATCTATTTCTAATTACTATCACATATGACCTTTCATTTTTCTATGAACAACTTTTTAGTACTTTATATTCCATGTTTGAGACAATATGATTTTGATCACCATTTTAATGTGATCCAAGTTACAGCTAATCTTTTAGATCATTTCAGTGCGCATTTTAATTCTCTCATTGTACACATCTATCACTTAGTTGTCTCCTGGCAATCATAATATTCTTTCAGCTTGATATCACTTTTAATTTTTTTTAATAGTACAGAGAATTCTTGATTGGTATAACTCAGGATAAAGAAGAAAATTGGGATAGTTGATGAAGGCATGCAAAATGTTAGGAAGAGTAGATGGATGTAGTAGACAGGAAATGATAGGAATTATGGGACTACAGCATGACAAGAAAGTGAAGACACAGAGCAGGAATGCTGGTAATTGACAAGATTAGAAGGCTATGGTCCTAGGTGGAAAAAAGCAGGAAGTTGGAGCCAGCTTGATATAATGGAGGCAGGCTGTACCTTGTATTAAGGTCCAAGGATTTGTCATTTGCTAAGTGGCCAGTGCAGGCTGAGAGGGTCAGATGATCAGCTAGATAGAACCAGGAAGGTAGAGTCAGAGGGGTGGTTCTCAGTCCAGACTGCTCACCATACTGTCCAGGGAGAGTTAAAACACACGAAAGCCTGGGTCTCCCAGGACAAGTAAGCCTGGATGTGTAGGTGGATTGAGGCGCTGTTGGGTCTGAAAACTCACAGGTGATCCTTGTTCTAACTTGTGTTTAGAACAGCTGTTGGCATCTACAGAAACTACTGTGGTCCTAGTGGGCAGTGTCCTGTATCTCGTTCATCCTTCACTCATAAATCAGAGCATTTGAGGAAAAGATGTGGGTGAAAGCAACTTTGAAAATCCCCATAGTGTTTCCAACGTGAAACTATTTTAGGAGCTGCTGACCTGGGGGATTGTTTGCTGCAATCTATTTTGCCTCATTTATCGAGGAAAACTATGCACTGGCAGGTCTTATGTATTAAAATCACGATTCTTGAGTCTGGAAGCTTAAGGCACAGAAAGGAAACAGACTAACAAAATTATAATAACAGGATCTTGAAAACCTTAGGGAAGTCACCCCACCACAGAAAGAGGCTCAGAAAGGATAGGTGAGTTGTTTCTAATCACTTGGATAGTTAATTAAATCCTTTGACAAATCTTTTTTTATTTTTTAAATTTACAATGTTGGCTCTTAAATTAAAACTCTTATTCTGAAATGGGAAACATTAGAAGGGATATAACTCAATTCTTAAACTTCCCCAAACATATGGACAAGTTGTCACAGAACTCTACCACTAGCAGTAAGAGACTCACAAAGCATAGAAAAGTTGACCAGAGAGCAATTAAATAGAGCTATGAAGTGCTGATGCTAAGCAGTTATGAGAACTCTTCAACCAAAGAGACAGCTATTGGGTAAGAGCTGTTTAAGAGGGCTATATCCTTGGGGGTCTGTAGCTTTGGAATGGCATGTGGGCTTCCTAAGGTCAGACATGCAGTTCTAAAAGGAAATTTTGCAATTATTACTTAGTTCCTCTACCATGTGGCTGTCATGCGTTTTCGTATTCTCCAAATTGATACCTGAACTAACCCAGTATAGAAGAATTCAAAACAAAAGCAGTTCTCGTTTGCTGGATAAAATTAACAACACATGATAAATTCTGATTCTTGCACTTCCTTGTGTTTTCCTGTGCTTTCATTTCAGGATACAATCTGTAGAAGAAAAAAAAAGTGGCCACACAGTCCCATATTCTGATGATAGGCTGCTGGCTGCAGTGCTGTTTCCAACTGTTTCCTGGTCCTCCCTGTTTTGCCAGTGGCCATAGTGAACTTGCTGATGGACGTAAATGCAACTTGAAGGAGGTAAGGTCATAGACCTGGGAATCAGACGTCTCCATGGGATGGAAATGAGTGGCCAGATCCTCAGCCCAGTGGGAGAACACAGAATCTACTTCCTTGCAGCTCTTAAGGGGCCATTATTGGATTTCCATATGTAAAATCCATAGACAATTCACAGGCTTCTGGGTAGCTACAATTCCCTAGAAATTGCTTATAAAACTTCTGTGCTTTGCTTACATGTTTCCTGAAGAAAGGCAATCCATCATTTGTATTAAGTGTTCAGAGTGAGAAGGACCACATGATATTTAAACGTTATAGCTAAGGGATGGAAAGGGTGACCAGGGTCAGTTTTAATCTCACAATTAAAGCTGTCCCAGAAATGGAATGAGCTACCGTGAGAAGTTGCAAACTTCCAGACCATCTGGGCAGAATATCACACAAGGAATTCAAGCAACAGATGCATGGCTGAGCTAGGCTTTTAAGTTTCTGTGAGACAAATGGCTATGTGTAAGGGCAAAACATATGAATATAGTTAATGTGGATGCTAATGAAGTTAGGAACCCTAAACGTAAAAGCCATAATGAGGACGAGAATTGTGGCTAATGAGGAGGAACTTTAGTCTAGAAGAACACAAGTACATTATTGTGGTATTTAATAGGACCAAACTATTAACATGAAGAATTTGGTAGAGAACTGTAGGTGGGAATATAGTGGTTAAAATGCCAGTCTTATCTGGCCTGGGCGTGGACTGAAATGGTTCTTCTTGGTGGCACACATTTGTGGTCCTAGCACTTACAAGGCTGTTTAAGACCAGTCTGGGCTACACACACCTTGTTTAAACAAAGGAAGCTGAAAGAGAAAAATACAGCGTGAACTACTAGGCTGATTGAATTTTCCTGAGGTTTCCTTATTTGCCAGTCATGTGTGACCTTGAAGCTATGGATACCCTGTTTTGCATTCATAAAATACAATGCCAATGGTACCAGCAGTCAAATAAACATAAAAAATCATATTAATAACTAAAAACTGGGCCAGGTATGGAGGCATACATTTTTAATTCTAAGTGTATCTCTGTGAGTTCAGGGATAGCATGATCTACAGGGATGCATAGGGAGAACAAGTCTCAAAAAAAAAAAAAAGTCAAATCTCAAATGATCACTGGTATTTGTAGTATTCAGTTAATGATATTTGATTTCTGTTAGAAACTCATTTATTTGCTGTTCAATAGAGGAAAATTCCTTTTCTTGATTCATGCTTCCCATGTATAGAGGACAGTGGGCACACACTGAACAAAGATAATACCTCATTCAAAATCATCTGTAACAGCTAAGGCTCAACAGTATCCTGAAGGGGAAGAGCAGTTTAACAGTAATTTTATAAATTTAGGCTTTTATTAGCACACTCATTCTTCAGTTGGGAGCGATGGTTTAGAGTAGGTTTGGAAATCCTCAGTTTAGTAAAATTTCATCATTCAGTTTTGGTAGAGTCCTATACTTGTTTCCAGTCTGTGGTGTCTAATTTCTATCTCATGGTTCTCATTCAGAATGTTTGAGAGACTCCTTAGAAATCGCTAAGTTCTAGTGTCTAGACAGCACATATTGCTACTTCAGAAATCTTTGTATTCCTTTCCATGGGGAGATTTATTTTAGTCTTCTCTCCACAAATTAGTTTGGAGGTAACAGAAGGAATTTTTTCCCCCTCACAGACTGCATCTCCATTTTTCTTTCACTCTCACTGAAATCAAACTTTTCCTTGTTGGTCTTAAATGTGGATGTCTTTTGTGTCTGTCGATTTAGGATAGTCCTGATTTGTTCCTTAGTTAGAGTGGGGATTCCCAAGCTAGAATGCACTGCATTGCCAGCTGAGGCACCTGCTCATGGTGACTCTCCCATGCTGGAATGTTTCTGAACAGAGAATGCTTTGCTAATTGGCTAGGGAAGTCTGCCACTCTTTGTAGTCTATTTAAATCTTATTACTTTAAAATGCAGCACACACACACACACACACACACCATGTGTAAGAATGCATATGTCCTTAATTAATAACTGGTGAAACCTCATGAAAAGTAATAGGTTTCTGCCTTTAGGTTTAACTTTGCATTCTAAATTAGCATGTGCAAATACATCAATAAAGCCTGCTAGTTTGGACAGCAGTATTTTTAAAGTTAGTCATAATTGGCTTAGGCCGGTGTAGACATTTGTTTAATAAGTCATGCTCTTTACAACATATACTAATAGCATATCCAAACATTTGAGGCTTAAGAGAACTGCTTTCAAGCTCCTTGAAGTACTTCATAAACAACTACTCAAGTGCTAATTATGAATTGTTCTTATTTCTTCATTATGTCTTTTCCCAAGATATCAGACTTATATAAACAACTCCAGGCTTCCACTGTAGGTAGAAAGCTTTTTCCAGACATTTGTCTTCTGGCCATGTTTCTGGCTTTAATTCTTGTTTTCCTCACCTGCCCCTTCCTGCTTGGATGCTGTTTTGTTTCATGCACAGTATTTGAGAACTAGCCCAGGCTGGTTTATAGATAATAGATTTCCCTTAGGGATGTGAACTGCTGTGGGTTTGGGGACCTTTGCTGTCTGTCTGTTACACTGGATTAAAAATAAAATAATTCAGAATGGTATAGCCTCTCATTACATTTTCAGAAAGCACTTTCAGGACACCCTGCTTCAGTGACTGCAGCTCTGTGTAAAGGAAGCCACAGCCTGAAGCCCCCCTGCTTCCTGGTCATGGCCATGAGAACTGCCCCTCTGTTTCCTACACTGTGGAGAACTTCCCTCTCAGAAATGTTTGTACTGGAAAATAGTGCTGTTTAAACATTTCCTTCCCCAAATATAAAGAATAATATAGAGGCAGTTTCTTATCCTGTATTAAAAAACAGAACAGTGACTACAGTCAAACTTTGAAGTATAAATTTGTTTTTCACTGTGGCTGTATTTCGAGTTTAAGAATAAATCTTGCCTTCTTTAAGGCACTGATAAAGTTTGTAAGGTAAGTCACCCCCATGCCTTTTGTTCCTGAAAGTCCAGCTATCTGGTAAATCTTTATGTCTTCTCCAAAAATGTGATACATGCTGCAACGGCAGACACTTGGGTGAAATATCCAGTCATAGTAACAAACCACACAAGGTCAGCGAGGACTTTGTGAGAAGGTTCATACATGAGACTATGACTTCTGGCAGTTTGAGGGGGTGTGGGTAAAGAAGGGGGACTCAGGGGTGTGTTATGAGGGTTCTTTTGCTGAGCCTCCAGAAAACCTGGACAGACCCTCTCCTTGGGAGAAGGGATCGAATCAGAAAGCGAGAGGCTTCACACACAGAAGCAGAGAGGATTGTTCACACCTAGCACTGTGTCTTCAAAACAAGTGTAGTACAAATAACTTGGTAACATGGCTAAGAGAGCTACAAGCATGAGACCATCCTATAGAAGGAACAGAATTAATGAAAACTTCAGAAACTGCAATTTTAGAGGGCTTAATTTTTCTTAGGCAAGTCACTCTGAAATATATCTACAGTAGGGAAAGTTAAGGACACTTGCCTTATAGTAAAATGCATTATGTCAATAAATGACAAATAATGAATAATGTTTAAAATACAAAAGGACAGTGAGGTGTGTGTGTGTGTGTGTGTGTGTGTGTGTGTGTGTGTGTGTGTGTGTGTGATTTTTTGAGACAGGGTTTCTCTATGTAACAGTCCTGGCTGTCCTGTCATCTGCTTTGTAGACCAGGCTGACCTCAAACTCATAAAGATCTACCCACCTCTGCCTCCCAAATACAGGGATTAAAGGTGGGTGCCACCACTGCCCTGCTGACAGTGAATATTTTAAGAGATGTCCATCTGGTAGGAGATTAGTGAAAAACAAATAGTAAGAATTTTTTGCTTTCATAACTGTACTTTATGCTTTGGGGTTTTTTGTTTGTTTGTTTAGTTGGTTGGTTTTTCTTGCCAGATGTCTTGAAACAGCTGCTTCTTGGCAGAAGGATTCTGGCAGTGGCTTCTAGTTTAGAACTGCTGGACTGGAACCATCCTTCCAAGGAGGCTGTTTTGTGCTTAGGAGCTTCTGACCTTCATTCTTGATGCCTCTGTTCCTCATTTACCTTAGTCTTTCTAACTTAAAATGAGTGAACTCTGCCATCAACCTTTCCTTCCCCACGGTTCAGTCTTCTTGGGCTTTGCTGTTTGTTTGGCTGTCTGTCCGAAGCCAGCTTTCATGTTTCTGTGGGGTGCGGTGGAGACAACTGAAGAGAGCATCATGGAGCATTTGCAAAGCATGGCCTGACTCCTCACTCAATGCAGGATTTATGCACAAAACCCACACTCTAGTCAGAAACATCTTCAGGCGTTACCAGTTTTCCTACAGATGCCCGGAAAGAGAGTCATCTCCACCACAGCCCACCCAGAAACATCCCACAGAGGGCACTGGGACCAGAGGCTGCCTGGAAATTTTTCATTATTGTAGTGTTTGTATTTGTGTGTGTGTGTGTGTGTGTGTGTGTGTGTGTGTGTGTGTGTGTTCTTAATTTTTCATAATAGTTTTAAATAAATTTTAAAAAGAAAACTGTTCCTTTTGAAACATGACCTATGTTCAGAAACAAAAGAAAGCATTCTAAGATGACACTAAGGTTACAGGCGTGCACCACCATACCTGGCTCTGAAAGTTTGATTTTAAGAGCCATGGTGAGCATGGCTGCTGATCCCAAGTTTTACCTAGAAAGTTGAGGAATTTATGATAGTTCTCATTTTCCATGTAATTATTTCCTGGCATTTCATTACTTCTTAATGTTCATTCTTTGTCTTTAGTGGGATAGTTTCCAACATTTCTTTTAACTATTTATCCTTCCCATCCTCTTGTTCTAAGTATACAACATTACCTCTTAAGTCATTAAGTTGGAGTTCACTTCATTTCTTTTGCTCTACTTCCAGCATGCACTGTATCTCCTTCCCATGTAAGGGGGGGAGGTAATACAAAATATTCAAGAGGACTGGAGTTACTGGGGTTTCTAGCAACCTCAGCCTTGCAGACCTGGAACCTGCTTCTCTGCCCTGCCTTCCTGATATATATTTTTTTTTTTTGTTATTGCTTGTGTGTTTTCCCCTTTCCTTCTTGGTTTCTTTCATATCACTTTGTCACAATTCTCATTTCTCTATTTTTTTATTGTTCTGTTTCACTTTCTCTCAGTCTTTCTACTCCCCCAGGATTTACGTGGCATCCCATGTTCTCCTTCAACCTGTCCCCTCTGTGTTCATTGTTTCTTGCCTTAGTGTGGTCAGCCATTACTGATGTCACCTACTTATACCATATGTACTGGTCTAATGAGTCCATTAACTCATTACCAACAACAGCTCTGGGTTCCATAAGCCAAGCACAGTTACATGTCTTCTAAACTTAAGTGCTTTAGTTGTTGTTGCTGTATAACAGTGGTTCTCAACCTCTTAATGCTGTGACCCTTTAACACCATTAACCATAAAATTATATTCATGGTTACTTCATAACTGAAATTTTGCTATTATTCTGAATCGTAATGTAAATATTTCTGGAGATAGAGGTTTGTCAAAGGCCTTGCGACCCATATGTTGAGAACTGCTTGTGTATAATTAAATATTCTACCATTTCTTGTCAAGTTCCAGGAATTACGAAAACCAACACATATTGGTTCAAGGTGAAATGGAGTTTTAATGAAGATGGTCAGGGTGGAGGAAGGCTCAGCATGGGTATAGAAGAAGATGGAACAGAAAACTGTCAAAGAGGGAAGCGTGGGGCCTCGCTCGAAGGTGAACTTCCTCCTGTGGGTGGGTGCAGATATCTGTGCCATGAGAAACATGGAAATTAGTGAATGCAAAGAAAGCAGAAGTAGCTTCCCCAGCTACTTAAACTGCTGAGTGCCGTTCCCTTAGCCATACTGCAAATGAAACATTGCCTTGCATTGTCTGTCAGGGAATTGGTGTTTTCCTTAAGTTTGCTAGTGTTCAGAAGCATCAGTAGAATTCTGCATGTTGCTCAAATCTAAACCATGTGAACTTATGAGAAGATTTATGCATCTGAAGTGTTCTGCTGACACTCTGGTGTCATAACTGAAGTATCCTAAACATTCGTTTATTTAGCTATTTTACAAAATAAAACTTGTGCCTCTTTCTCTGTGTCACGTAATAGATGCTTGTCTTTAGAGGCTTCAAACACAGCTATAAGAACCAGGTAATCTCTGTGGTAGACATGTCCTATGCCTGAGGCTAACTCTTCAGCAAACAGCTCCCACAAGTTGGGAATGCTAAGAGGGTACCTGTCTCAGGTCTCCTTGGGTCTGTAACCCCAGACAGTCAGAGACTGTGTGTTTCCTTCTTCCTCACTATTACATTTCTAAATCTGTACTCACGAAGTATCTCCTCTGCCCACCCTCATTCCACTGTACTGCCTTTTAAGGTAGCCATGTTACCAGATCCTGGAATTAATCTGAGATTTGGGCTCAGTGATCTGAGTGTTCTGATCTTACATCTCAGGACAATCTTTGAAGATCTGAAGATGCTGGATAAAAGTATTTGCTTTAGCAGTTGCCTGTATTAATAAAGTATTTTTTATTAATATGGGGAAAATATGTGATGGCATTGGAGAGATGGTATGGCAGTTAAGTGCACTTGCTCTTGCTGAGGAGGACCCAGACACCCACGTGGCAGCTCACTACTGTATTCTGGCCTGTGAGGGCACCAGGCACGCGCATGGGGCACAGACATACTCGTAGGCAAGACACCCATACACACAAAAGAAAAATTAAAAAATAAAAGTATTTGAGAAGTTATCTAGGTTTTAAGTTGTTAAAAAGAATAATCACTGTTTCCTTATTTAAAAAATTCAAGTATAAAATATATACTTATAAAATTTGAATCACTGAATTTACTGATTAGATGTAATGAAGTTAAGATAATACTTGTAAACAGTTTCTGAACCTTCTTGCTGTAGAAGACAGGAGGCTCAGGGAGACTCGGAGCTTGGTACATGTTCCCACAAACCAACATCCTTTTGTGGAGGAAGAGCCAGTGCTTCCTTCCTGAGCCGGAGAACTGATTACAGTGGATGTTTCTATTTTCACTAGATACATAAACACATTTCAGCTGGGGAAAAGCAATCATAGCATGGTTCAGCAAAAATGAAAAGGACTTTGTTCAGAAAAAAAAAAAAAAACAGCCCAGGTCCTCACAATGATACCCTTGCTTGCAAGTATTTAAAGTCACCTTGAGAAGGAAAATCAAGCCAATGGTGAAAAGTCTTAGTTTCAAAGTTGCAGGAGGAATCATAAGGACAGTGACAGATGCAAGCTTTCCTTGGGAGTGATGTAATTAACTGGTTAGATGTCTCACTGCCAAATTTGAGTAATCTGTGCTTTGGACTATAAACTTTCAAAATCAATGCTTTGTTACATGAAGCTTAGATAGCAGAATGCCTCTTCAAGAATCTCTCTGTGTAGCCCACAGGCCTAGATCTGAACAAGGCAATACATTTACTGTGTGACCTTTGCTTACTTGAAGAGACTAATTTACCTTAAAACCAGGGAACCTCATGTTACTTTCCACTGTAGGAATAGGCAAAGTCCAGCTGGAAGACAGACGTGGGGACCCAAAGCCAGGCAGTTGCAGCAGAACGCCCACGTGCTCACAGAGGGATGCATCCAACCCATGTATTAGCAGGGCATTTAATTGAAGAGACTTGTTAGAAAAATATAGTTTGATTAGCCATCCATTTAACAAATTTGCACTGACTATTTGCTCTATTGCCATATCTTCTGATCTCACAGAGCTATCAGTACAGATAGGGAGACTGTCAAAGAAGGAGAAATAACCAAGGTAGCATTTTGAAAATGTGAAACAATGTTATTTCAGTTGTTTTTAAATGAAAAAACACATATTGCCCTGTAGATCCCCACCATATATGCATATAGATGGATTACACAGGGCAAAAGAAGTGTTTAAAGACAGCAAGGACTAAAGATAAATAATAGCTAGGCAAAAGCTAAAATAACATGACAGCCTAGACAGGCATTTGAGGAACAGAAAGTAAATGTAGCTATGCCAAGAAGGAAAGAGACAAGAGACAAAGATGGAGAAGGGGGCAGAAACTAGATCAGCTTATTTATGTCCAGAAAGTACCATAATTGTAGACTATTTGATGAGGAGCTAAAAGGGACTATTATAGTGTTATCTAAACAAAATAAATTTTAATTAATAAATATATTTTTTCATGACTATGAATGCTGTTAATATTGAAATGGAAAATATGCATGTCCAGGAGGTATTTCTTTGATAGTTAGCTATGTGGAGGCCCTGTGACAGAGTCTGGGTTTTTAGGTCCACTGCAAAAGTTATGTTTGGTCACTTAAATTCAGGTCCAAGTAATCAGTTTATTTTAAATTGAAAGAAGTATATGAAAGATTTTCAGTGGGAAAAGAAATATTCCAAGTTTTTAGTTTTTAAGTAAATGAAACTATAAATTTCCTGATGTAACTTTTTTTTTTTTTTTTTTTTACTAA